GGAAGAGCCACATGGAAGACAGGGGTGGAATTAAACTTGGAGTGTGTTTACCGTGCAGTGCAGGCATGGGTCGGGGCAGAGGAGAGCTATGAGTTGTCCTTAGCAAGTGGCTACTTGGGATACCGGATGGAGGGTGGAGTAAAGCAGCCCTCACTAGGCGCCACCCCCAATTGCTCTTCAATGGTTCTGCTCTCCTAAATCCCCCGCTGACTATACTGGGCTCCACTCCTTCACAGCCATTCCTGCTACCAGACACCAAGCATCGCACGCCAATCTGATATTCACCCACGCTCTGGAGTCACAGACCAGGATAGAATTATGACCTAGGTCAGACCTTAGCTCAGTGACATTGGGCCAGACACTTCCCAGCTTCTGTTGTTCTTATCCATCAAATGGGGTTGCAGGCAGCAGCCCCTTGGCTGCGGGGGCTGTGGTGAAGAGCAAATGGCACAAGACCACCATTGTAAACCCGTCTTCTGGTATCACGGCATGTTCGTCACTAGAACCCTCACTGGGCTTGGGCTGAGGGATGGGAGCATTAGATGTGTGATAAGATCTTCTACAGTTGTGGGTCAAAGGCCACCTGCTGGCAGGATTCTTTCTTGCTTGAGGAAGTACTTTTTCTAGGAAGAGCTTCAGCTGAGTAGATGTGAAGCATGCACACCAAGGAGGGTATATGCTTTACCCAAAGTTAATGCCATGCAAAGAACACCTTCACAGAAGCACCTTTTAGAATAATGTTTGAACAGATGTTTGAACACTGTGACTCAGAAAAAATTGACGTATAGATAAATATCCCAGCTTTGTCATTGACGATGGAGCCACAGAGAAAACACGTGAACCACAGCAGCCAGTAGGGGTACTGAGAGGGAGACTTGGTCTCCACCCTCTAGAAGACCATAAAACAAACCGCAGACACAGTGCCTACCTTACAGGAGATCAAGGGGGATAACGGGGGGGGGGGGAGCACACTTTGGACAATCGGCACCATGCTGGTACAAACCAGTGCCAGAGCAACATTTCCACAGAAGACCCAAGCACATCAGCACCAGGTGGCGTTTTTCTGGATGATGGGAAAGCCCTAGTCACACACTAAGCCATTGCCACAGCTCTCTCCCAGTACACTGTAAGAAGCCCTCACCCGGGAGAGAGATTTACTGCCATAAAAAATACTGCCCTGCCGGCCAGGAGAGCCGCAGTGCCTGCTGTACGCATCGGAAGCCTGCTGCCCGCAGCCACACACACCAATCTAAGCAGGGTTATTAAAGCATAAATTCCCATCGCTTGTCTCCCTCTCATTGGGCCGGAGCATCACCATGTTCATTAGTGGGAAATGTGAGGTTATATAATCTAATTTTTATAACTCTCCAAGGAGAGTGTGGGTCATACATTAGCCTGAGATTTCAACCTTTAAAGATAAGGGGAATGTCATTTTTATTAAAAAGGACCACAAAGTATAATGAGAATTATTACCCCAAATAGGCAAAATAACCCAGAATGCACAGAAAGGCTTGCTTATAATTCTCTCTCATATATGGTATCTGCAGCAGGACTGCATAAGAAACAGCTCAGAGGCATTTTCCATGATGTCCAAAGAGCGCCTGAGCTCTTCACAGGGACCCAGGCAGACAAGAGGTGGCACCATGAGACTTAGTGCCGGCTGGTGGGAGGTGGCCAGGTCCCATTGGCCTTCAGTGCACGACCTGGACAAGAGGTCAACCCAGGCCTGCCCCGGCTCCTTTCATGTTGGAAGCACTGAGAAGGCCACAGAAACATCCAATACAAGAGGCTGCATGACTACCTTGGTTGATGTGTGGGGGTGGACATCTGTGACGGCTCCACACCTCCAAGGGCAAATGGTGGCCTCTCCTTCCTGGTCCAGGTCCTCTTCTCTGGCACCAGGAGCTTCAAGTGCAGTGGCATTGCTCCCAGGGTCAGATGGAAGTGATCTACAGTCAGAAGTCACCTAGACCCAGACAGGGCCTCTGCAGCATCCAAGGTCATCAATATCTGTTCTGCCTGCATATGTGTCCAAGAGATCTCTTAATGGTTTTCTTGGCAACATTAGTGGTATTCAGAACTGGCTGTGGGTACAAGAGTACTGTGGGCTGAAACAGTTTCAAAAGATTCTAGAAAGCATCCAAGAATGAAAAGTTTTACCTCCTGACACAGAGTGTGGGTTCCCCTGGTGCTCCAGTCACTGGGTAAGCACATGGGTGCAGCCTGGCAGGTGCTCGTATGTAAGTGTCTCCTGAGCCTCGGCCTTGTACCGCGATGTGGGGAGGTTTGAGTTCCATATGACCCTCACCCACTCCTCTCACTGCCCTGGCCATTCTTTGCTCCCTGCCTACTTCCTAACTTTGACACTGTCCAATCCATGGGTAGGATCTTTTACTGAGTGGGTCTCTCTGCCTACCTCCTTTTCTCTCACTAGCCTGTGGTCTGAGGTAGCTGGGTTACCTATGGCTGGCCCATCTGATGACCCCATCACAATCTACCACTGGACTGTTGTGGGAATTTACAAATGGCAAGTGAGGTCCTAAAAATGCAGAGTCCCATGTGTCCAAGGATGCCAAAGACAGTAAGGACTCCTCTACTTTACACTCAGAGAGAAGTTCAAGGCCAAAGAGAAGTCAGAAGTCTAGCCCAGAGCACACCCCAGCCCCTCACACTTGTATCCCAGAGCTGCTCAGCAAGAAGTACTGCCTCAGCAAATCTAAATCTTTCTTGTTGCAGTTTGAGCCAATTTCCTGGGCAGTGTGATGTACATTTCATCAAGGACACATGGGTGGCAATTATGTTTCAGAGTGGCTATTATGGGCAGGCTCAGCGGATGACAGCCTTTTAAGTTTTCAGAAGTGTGTGTGTCTTTATTCCGTGCCATATGGACTTCCTGCTCTGTTCTGCATATTTAAAAACCCATCGTCTTCTGTTTGAAATACATTTAATCCATCGGAACAGGCAGGACATCAAGTAAAACCATGGATGCAGCTACTGATCAATATCCCACCTGGGAGAAGAGCTTAAGCAAGGCTGACTTACACTCCAATCTCATAGCAAACCTGAGCTGGGCTCGTTTAAGAATGTTCTAGACCTTCACTTCTCTAATTCCCTTAAATCCTGAACCCCCGTGGCTGCCAATGAAACACAGAAACAAATGTTTGTAACTAGGTTATGCTAACTTGGAAAGTGTTTCCTTGAGCTACTAGATGCATTTTAAAATAATTCCCTCTGATGTACAATACAGAAAGTCATCCTAAGAGAATGACTGTCACTAGGATTCTGGGATCCTTTGACACAAAGAGCTCCAGGCACTGAAACCAGACTCTGTGAAAATAAATATTAATGGAGACGTGGGTGTTAAGCAAATCCTCATGTTGTATTTGCAAAATACCCATAGTAAAGAGAAAGAAAAGGATCTAATGCTCGCCAACAGTCTGGAAGGAAGGCTGACAGAGTAACTAGAAGTGTCTCTTCCACCCCTCAGCGCAGGAGGCATGCTTTCTGTCTGGGTGGCCGGGTTTGGGATGATAGAACTTTTCACATTACATGTTAATTTCACATATGTGAATATATATTTCATATGTATAAGGCACTATTCTCTCTTCCTATAACATTCCTGTTCTCATTAGTGCTGGGTCACAGTGAAATGCTTAAGTTTTAAAGTGTCCCTTTGAGGCATGTGGGATAGATAGTTCTTTGCTGATGTGTAACAGATCTCTGCTTATGAGTCAAAGCCAGGAAAGGGTTGACATTTCAAAATGGCCTTGGGGACTTTGTGAAGGCAGAGTTCCGGCCTGCAGATGTCAGACCCAGTGGACTCCTCTCAGGCCAGGTTCATCCAGTGGAGTAAGGGAAGGTCATCATGGAGTCATAGAATCCTGCTGTGGCCATGGAGAAGGAAAAGAGCAGCCTTTGGGTAGTGGATACATGTTCTACCTACCTATGATCTTGAAGTCCTGGCCCCTGGGGCGTGGCCTTGGGGCTACCCTTAAGACCTGAGATGAACCAGGCCGCTGCTCTTCTCTCCCTCATGGGCTTGGATGGTGGGACTGACTCAGGCAGGGGGAGCTGCGTGGGAGCTGCGGGGGACAGGACATCAGCCTTCCAGAACCCTGCCACGATTTGCCTATCCTGTTCAGTGAGTTGTCTTTTCTGGTTTATCTCCTAATAAATTACTTATAACCTTTAAGCAGACTCCCTTGGATCTCTCACCTACACCTTGGAGCCTTAATTCTAGGACTCACGGTTACAGAATCTTCCTGGGAGGAGGAGCTGGAGGCACACTTACCTGTAACTTCTGTTCGACTTCATAGTTCCCTGGAACAAAGTGACCATGGAGTCAGTCCTGGGCACAAACCCACTGTGAGTCTCAAAGGAGGTGGGGAACAGGATGGAGAGCTGTTATTTTCCTAATGGGACAAGAATGTATTCTTTATCCAGCGATGACTGTTAAAACAGATATCCCAGTTGCTATTAAAAACCAAAGGACTCGCCGGGCGGTGGTGGCGCACGCCTTTAATCCCAGCACTCGGGAGGCAGAGCCAGGCGGATCTCTGTGAGTTCAAGGCCAGCCTGGGCTACCAAGTGAGTTCCAGGACAGGCGCAAAGCTACACAGAGAAACCCTGTCTCGAAAAACCAAAAAAAAAAAAAAAAAAAAAAAAAACCAAAGGACTCATTGGCATATGGAGAGACGCTGTTGCCTTGTCTTTCAGTTCCATAGATCTCTGCTCAACTCCAGTGACACATTTCGAAAAAAATAGATGGTTACTGTCTGGGTTTTCCTTTTAACTTTCAACCCATTTCCTCTCCTCTGAGTGAACAGCTAACCCACAGACACTAGAACTGAACATCTCACTTTGGAACCACTTGACGACTAAATGCGCTTTAGTTGTGTCAAGTTTCTAATAACCAAATTTACCCGTTAATACAAGTAGAAAAATATTAAAATCAGAATCATTTCATGCTAGAATATTCCATCAGCCTCAACTCCTTTCATTCCACTTTATTGTCTTTATTATAATAAGCACAAGAAGCTATAAAATGTGAAAGCAAGAAATCCCGGCTCCAGGGAGGCAATCGCCCTTCCAGGCATAAGAATTGATCATCTACTCTTCCTATTCATGCTGTTCAGACTCATATTGGTCTTTCTAATTTTAACAGCAAAAGTCAGCTTGGGAAAGAATGATTCTGTGCAAATCTTCACAATACGTTAACAATTCCAACTGTGAGGAGTCAACAGTTACAGCATACATCATCGTCAGGGAGACTGCATTAAAAGGAGATAATTATGAATGGAATACATATAGATTCCATTCATATATATATATATATATATATATATATATATATATATATATATAAAATTTGCATATAATCGCAGCTCTGGCTGATGAGACGAGGGCCTTGCTCATGGAACACATGTTTGGTAATTGAGTTCTCATTTGGAAGATTAATTGTTCCGTGGCTGCTGTCTGAGTCTCACTCCTGTCACTGATGGAAAGCAGCTTCCCCAAGGCTGTCCTTCTGGAGCCCTTGGCCCTGGGCAGAGAACAAAGCCGAGGATGGAGGAGAATAGGGCTATGGTTTGGCTGGGTTATGGTTTCACCCAGTCTTGACAATGGAACACTCCACAGACTTGCCCACCAGATTCTTAGGCTTGTGTCCTCACCAAAGGATACTTTGTGTCCCAAAGGTGGCAGACAAGACCATTTCAGGTGAAGCAGATGTGGACTGTATTTAATTACTACACAGTTACTTTCTTGAGTATTATTAAACATTCACTTCGCACATGCATGGGTAATTTCAGAGGGAGAATTACTTACAATGAAGCAAAGAAAAAAAAGAGCAGACTATTAAAGAAATGTAAAGGCTGACAGTAAGTAGGTTAGGCACAGGGATGGCTCAGGCAGGAGAAAATGAAGTTGATGAAGGCTTGGAAACTGTCACGAATCCTCACCTCAATGGAGACAGGCAAGGCAGGACCCTGCATCCTCCTGTTTAGAGAAAGGGATGGAGTGAGTGAGGAAAGGTTTCAATTGCTTGTGTCCAGCATTCAAATTGAATTCAGATATGTCATGGTGGCTGGTAACTTAGAACCAGGACAGGTTAGTGTTTGTCAATATGTGGGCCTCAAAATTACAATCCAGACTTCAATTTTGGAAAAATAAACCAACAACAACAAACCCCAGCCAACCAACTAACCAAACAAAACAGGGAATGTGGAAGCTAAGCAATATGTATGCCTCTGGACACTGCCTTAGAATTCTCCCAAGCTCCTGTTGAATTCCCAGGGTCTCTGACCCAGAGACTCCAAGTACAGAGACATGAGATCTGATGTGGTAGAGGGCCAGGCTCTGTTTCTCGGTCCTTGACCCGAGGGCCTAATACTTCTGGAGAGCATCCATTTTCAAGATGAAGAAATGAAGACCCGGAGACGTAGCAGCTGGCCCAAGGCTGACCTGCTCACGGCTACACGTTGACCGTGCCACACTGAATCCTCTTGGTCCCTGTTCACCTGTCATCAAAAGCCCCAAACTGTTGAGAGTCACAGAGAAGTCCAGACACCTCATCTCAGGACCTCACAGTGAGTTTATGCATCCTCTTACTCCAGTTGCTTACCCTTTCTCCTCAAGATGATGGCCGTAGCTGATCAGTCATTGTCTGGAAAAGAGCAAAGATGCTGTCACTCAAAAGTGAGGTGCCCACAGGAAACTGATAGGCAGTTGTTTTCTTTCATTTTCATTTAAATTTCTTGTAAAACAGAATTTTAATGCCAGGAGGCCGCATGGTAGAAAAAGGCCTAACCATTACTTGACGAGGGAAGTAAAACTCCTCTGGCGTTTTCTTTCTTTCCGTACCCCCACCCCCACCCTGCCGAACTTGATCTTCTCCCACAGGCTCCATCCCTCCGTGATCGGATATGCCTTGTGAGAAAACATGATTGAAGAGAGTCTACACATCATTTCTCAGCTTCCCTTGGCTCTTCCCAAAGAGAGCGCCGGTTAGGATACAGAGGTGATTTTTCAAATCTACTGTCTAAATTACCTGTGAGAGCAGTGCCTCTTCTCAAGGTCAAATTAGTCTTTAAAGCAAACGTTGTATCACTGAAGGCAAATTATTTTTAATCCATCCTCATGCCCGGCAATAACACCATGTTCAAGTTATAATGAGGATTAGTCAAATGCTGAACTCAGATAATGAGAATAGTTACTGTTTAAAGAGATGGGCGCTTCTTGAGATGGGCAGGTGTGCAGGGCTCACGTTAGTTCTGCTTTGGCTTCGGGCTGGTTGATGACTAGTTCTCGATGTGCATGGGAAGCTCCTTGGCCATTGGCCTTGGGTGTTCTCAGGTTCCAATAAAGCTGTAACATTGGGTTGGAAGACACATGCTTCTACTTACCCTGGGGACAAGACAGCAAATAGTCACAAGGAAGCAATAGATGTGAAATCTCCCTCCCCATCCTCCAAAATGGCACAGGAAGCCACTTTGTGTGGGCGAGGACGAGGGTTCAGCCAGGAAAGTGACAGACCCATGCAAAAGCCAGTTGTGGTTATGTGTCTCTGTGGCCTCAGCACTGGGGTGCCCAGTGGAAAGATGCCAGGGCTGACTTGCCAGCCAGTCTACTCAATTGGCGGCCTCTGAACTCAATGAGAAATACTGTCACAAAAGGCACAGTTGAGAGAGAGAGTGGGAAGATACCCAACAGCGACTTCTTTCCTCCATATACACACACATGAGCACACAAGTGCATGCCTGCCCACATTCATACTTGCTTACATATACACTACATGTACACACGTATACATAACACTCAACAAGGGGCACTTTAAATAATCAAGCCGTGTACGTAAAATAATGTGACATTTTATCTGTGTCCCCCAGTAAAGTTTATCTGAGGATCAGAGAAAAAAGCCAGCCACTGTGGTGGTATTTTATTTGTACTGAAATGTGATTTTAATTGTATGTTAATAAATAAAGTTGCCTGGGGGTCAGAGCTATTAGAGCCACAGCAAGTGCGTGGCAGCGGTGGCGCACGCCTTTAAGGACCTGGAGGGCGGTACATACAGGCAGTGACGAGGCAGTCACATGTTTGGGTTTACAACCAATGAGAAGGCAGAATAGGAAGACTTTAAAGACAGACACACAGGAAGTAGGTCTTTTTCGGAGAGCTCTCTTGGCTGAAGAGGATCGCTGAATCAGGAAGGGTGAGGCTCTTAGCTCTGACCTCTTGGCTTTCTTCTCTGAATTGGCTCTGTGTTTTTTATTTAATAAGACCGTTGGTTACATCTACAAGCCACTATAGTAAACATAGAAGTCAGGCAATGGTAGCACATGCCTTTAATCCTATCACTCAGAAGGCAGAGATCCATCTGGATCTCTGTGAGTTCAAGACCACACTGGGAACAGAGTCAAGTGTGGTGGCACACGCCTTAAATTCCAACACTAGTTAACCATGGAGGTCTGGAGGTTTGTACAGACAGGCAGGAAGTGACAGAGCTTGGCAGGAAGAGGAAATAATGTAGCTGGGAGGAAATGAGATGGCAGAACAGAAAGGCATATAGGCGTGGGTATACAGGAAGTAGGTCTCTTTGGTGGAGGATCTCCAAGTGGTAAGAACATGGCTGGCTTCTTTCTGCTTTTCTGATCTCTCAGTTTTTCACCCCAATATCCAGCTTTGAGGTTTTTATTTAATAAGACCTTTTAAGATTCATGTTACGGGTTGGGGATTTAGCTCAGTGGTAGAGCACTTGCCTAGTAAGCACAAGGCCCTGGGTTCAGTCCTCAGCTCTGAAAAAAAAAAAGATTCATGTTACAAAATAACCTAACAGAGGCTTTCCCCAAAACCAAGCTGCTTAAATATCCAATGAAATCACTTTTAACATTATCTTCATGTCATATGTAAATCAAAGCCAGTCAGTGCAAATCCAAGATGGCTCTGCTATATCCCACTCTGAAGCCTAAGATCTTGGGATTGATCAGAAGGATGGGTCTGAAGCAAAGGTGTAGCCAAGTTCAAGTTCATCGCTCTGAGGCTTATTATTAGTGCTGCTGAGATAAACCCCATAGGCTTATCCCCATAGGCTCATATTAAAAGCCCCCACCTCATTCAGGTGGAAATTACAGGCTGATAGCAGGCCCTGACATTCACGTGCTCAAGTTCACGTTCACATAGTAGGAAGAGTTGAAGAGCTAGCATCAACCTCATTGGCTGACAGGTAGACCCTAGAGCACCATCATGCACCTTTCTGTGATAACTAACACTGAGCCTCAACAGCTAACTCTGCTGCCCCTCACACTTCTCAACTGCAAAATGCTCAGTGGAAGACAGTTTGGAATATGTTGCATAGGATTGGGAAGTTTTAAAGACACTCAGCACAGGTATTTAAATTTTTCCTTCACTGGCTTTATTGTAGCTATCCTTAATAAGACTAGTCTATAAAACTTGTGTTCCAACTTCTGGAGGCATCACGATCCCTGACTTCAAGTTCTACTATAGAGCTACAGTAATAAAAACAGCTTGGTACTGGCATAAAAACTGACATGTGGACCAATGGAATCGAATTGAAGACCCTGACATTAATCCACACACCTATGAACATATAATTTTTGACAAAGAAGCCAAAAGTGCACAATGGAAAAAAGAAAGCATCTTCAACAAATGGTGCTGGCAAAACTGGATATCAACATGTAGAAGGTTGCAAATAGATCCATATCTATCACCGTGCACAAAACTTAAGTCCAAGTGGATCAAGGACCTCAACATAAATCCAGCTACTCTGAACCTGCTAGAAGAGAAAGTAGGAAGTAGTCTTGAATGCATTGGCATAGGAGACCACTTCCTAAATAGAACACCAGTAGCACAGACTCTGAGAGAAACAATCAATCAATGGGACCTCTTGAAACTGAGAAGCTTTTGCAGAGCAAAGGATACGGTCAACAAGGCAAAGCGACAGCCTACAGAATGGGAAAAGATCTTCACCAACCCCACATCTGACAGAGGACTGATATCCAGAATATATAAGGAACTCAAGAAATTAGACATCAAAATGCCCAACAGTCCAATTAAGAAATGGGCTATAGAACTAAACAGAGAATTCTCAACAGAGGAAACTCAAATGGCCGAAAGACATTTAAGGAATTGCTCAACATCCCTAATCATCAGGGAAATGCAAATCAAAACAACTCTGAGATACCACCTTACGCCTGTCAGAATGACTAAGATCAAAAACACTGAAGACACCTTATGCTGGAGAGGATGTGGAGCTAGGGGAACTCTCCTCCACTGCTGGTGGGAATGCAAGCTTGTACAACCACCTTGGAAATCAATATGGCGCTTTCTTAGAAAATTGGGAATCCATCTCCCACAAGATCCAGCTATACCACTCTTGGGCATATACCCAAGGAATGCTCAACCACACCATAAGAGCACTTGTTCAGCTATGTTCATATCAGCATTGTTTGTAATAGCCAGAACATGGAAACAACCTAGATGCCCTTCAACTGAAGAATGGATAAACAAAATGTGGTACATATACACAATGGAATACTACTCAGCAGAGAAAAACAATGACATCATGAGGTTTGCAGACAAGTGGATGGATCTAGAAAAAAATCATCCTGAGTGAGGTAACCCAGACTCAGAAAGACAAACATGGTATGTACTCACTCATAGCAGGATACTAGACATGGAACAAGGATGGCTTGTCTGCTACTCACATCACCAGGGAGGCTACCTAGAAAACAGGACCCCAAGAAAGACACAGGGATCGCCCAATGACAGAGAAATGTAATGAGATCTACATGAACAGCCTGGACATGAGTGGGGGTAGTGAAGGGCGAGGGTCGAGGGAAAGAGAGCTTGGGGGAGCGGGAGATCCCAGCTGGATCAACAACAGAGAGGGAGAAACAGGAATAGGAGACCATGGTAAATGAAGACCACATGAGAATAGGAAGAAGCAAAGTGCTAGAGAGGCCCACAGAAATCCACAAAGATACCCACACAACAGACTGCTGGCAATGGTCGAGAGACAGCCCGAACTGACCTAATCTGGTGATGGGATGGCCAAACACCCTAATTGTTGTGCTAGAAACCTTATCCAACTACTGAGGGATCTGGATGCAGAGATCCATGACTAGGCCCTGGGTGGATCTCTGGGAGTCCAATTCTCGAGAATGAGGAGGGTTTATATGAGCGAGAATTGTTGAGACCAAGGTTGGATTAAGCACAGGGACAAATAGCCAAATGAATGGAAACACATGAACTGTGAACCAATGGCTGAGGGGTCCCCACTGGATCAGGCCCTCCGAATGGGTGAGACAGTTGATTGGCTTGATCTGTTTGGGAGGCATCCAGGCAGTGGGACCGGGTCCTGTGCTCATTGCATGAGTTGGCTGTTTGAAACCTGGGGCCTATGCAAGATTGCTTGGCTCGGCCTGGGAGGAGGGGACTAGACCTACCTGGACTGAGTCTACCAGGTTGACCTCAGTCTGTGGGGAAGGCTTTGCCCTGGAGGAGATGGGAATGGAGGGGGGGGCTGGGGGGAAGGTGAGGGGGACGGGAGGGGGGAGAACAAGGGAATCCGTGGCTGATATGTAGAACTGAATGGTATTGCAAAATAAAATAAATAAATAAATAAACAAAAAAAACTTTAAGTATGATTCCAAAAAAAAAGAAAAAAAAAACAAAAACAAAAAAAAAACTTGTGTTCATGTTACATTTTCATCATACATTCAGAGGCCAGGTAGGGCTCAGAACTTATAAAGGAGAAACTCGAAAGTTCACTGAAGCTGAGAGAAGTCACTTCTGGTAGACCAGCAGCAGGCAGGACAGCTGATTCCAGAACTGGTGCTGTTGATCCTGTGTCCCGGGGCTGGTTCCCATAACCTCCCGTGAAAGTCCTTTAAGAAGGATCCACAGGGCAAAGCTGTTAAAAGCACGTCTTTTCACTAAGAGTACAAATGTAGGAGTATCTCCATGAACCAGACATGGCTTTGGACATTCAGATACCATAATCAACAATAGAGGAAACTTCTGCTAGGCCAAGGGTCTTAGAGTAGGGAGGTATGGCAGACTACTAAAGGCATTCAGTGGTTAGCATGAGAAAAGCATGAGGTGGAGTTGGAAGAGTGAGTGGTAGTCTTTCATACAAAAATGGTCAAGGAAATATCTCAGGAAGAAACTGAGTGGAGACATCATGGTTGCATTTTTCTTTTAGCTGATTGGTTTAGGGAAGTGAAAGGGAAGGGCATGCGGGGGACCTAGACCAGAGAATTCCAGATGGTAAATGTGGTCATATTTTGTATATGCTCTAACAAATTAAGCTTGCCTGAAGATCAGGGAGCAAAGCTAGCCACTAGTTAGCCATAGAGGCCAGGCAGTGGTGGCACATACCTTTAATCCCAGCATTTAGGATCTTATGCCTTTGCTCCCAGTTCTTGGGAGGCACACATGCCTTTAATAACAGCATTAGGAAGGTAGAGACAGGAAATGATATGGCTGGGCAGAGAAATGGAATATAAGGCAGGCAGAGACAGGATCTTGGTCCTTTTGGCTGAGGAGTTAGTGAGGTAAGAGGTGGCTGTGGCTTGTTCCTTCGTCTCTCTGATTTTTCAGCATTTACCCCAGTATCTCCAGGTTATTATTAAGACCAATTAGGATTCGTGTTATAGGTAAATTCAGATCAGGGTGCTCCAGACAGCAGGAGTGTTAAGTATGGGCCTCAGAGCCAGAGTGTCCTTAGAGGGCCTTTAGGGAAAGATGGCTAGGGACAGAGGAGACAGGGCAGGGGGATTCTGGGGGCCGATTTCTCACTCACACAGGACACCTACCTGCTCTGAGCTGCAGAGCCTGGAAGAAAAGCAATCCTAGCCTTCAAGAAGACAATCTCACTGATGGCTCAAGATACAAAAACCCAGAGAAATTACATGGAGGACCAGAGAAAATTACTGCAAAATGAGTCACAATGGAAGATGGAACAGCCGAGAACAATTCCCAAGGTCTGCAGTCATTTGAGATGATCCAGGAGTAAAAATGCCCCTTGGACCTCAAGCGTGGCTGGACTCAAAGAGAGCAAATTTGCTTAGCACACAGCATGGTGTCTGGCATGTGGAGGCTGCACAGCAAACCCTGGTGCGGAGAAGTTAGTCAATGAATAGAAAAAAGGTAGGAAAAAAACTGGAAGACCAGGGTGGGGACATGGCTCCAGGAGAAAGTGCTTGCAGCTCAAGCATGAGGACCTGAGTTCAAATTCCCAAAATCCACATAAAAACTTACCATGACAATAGAAGTCTATAACCCAGAGCTGGGAGTCAGGGAGGAAGGAAGATCCTGGAGCTTGCTGGTCAACCAGCGTAACAAAAATGGTGAACCCAAGTTCAGTGAGAGACTCTGAAACAAAAGTAATAAGGTGGAAAGTGATAGAGACACTAAGTGTTGGTGCATGTACCCACGTGTGTACACACACACACACACACACACACACACACACACACACACACACACACCCCAATTGGAAGGTTAATTAAAGTCACATGTTAAACAGATTGAATAGTACCCTACAGGATGTTTTGTAGAAAGGCAGGGCAATTGGGGTTCACTTTGACCCCTAGAAGGATCACACTGTAAATCGTAGTCTTGTCTTTATGACCAACCATTTGGGAATATGTTTCATTGGATGCTCAAGCTTCAAAGAACAATGAGTGCAGGCGCCTACATTCCTCTTCACTGACTTTGGTGCAGCCGTCCTTAGTAAGGCTGGACTGTGACCTGTGATCGAGTTGTACTTCCCACCAAGCACTGGGAAGCCAGGCAAGAACCAGACCTTGCCAAGGAGAAACTCAAAAATCCATAGGTAATTGCTTCAGCAGCCCCAGATTCTTGCTAATGTTTGGGATGTGTGCCCGCATGGATTCTAAGTGCTGACAGACCTGACCTGGGGAAAATACCTGTCGTATTTTAGTGATCATTTACACCAAAGCCCCAGAAGGAGAGCAGTAAAGCATTTTCCAATGGAAGAGAAAACACTGTTGTAGATGTCTGCACAGGTGTGAATCATGCCGTCTTCCTCCCGGGAACCAGGAGCGAAGGTAAGCTTCAAAAACAGACATTCATGTCCAGCTATTGAGAACACTGCTTATAAAGTCAAGTTGCAATTTGGACTGAAGACCAGTATCTTCCATGCCATATTAAGTAAACATCAAATAAAGCTGAGAACCAGTTAAGACAGACTGGAGAAGGTCTGAAAAATTCAACAGAGTCAGAGAGGTAAGTTAAGCTCAAGCCAGAAGCCAATGTCCCAAGACCCTGAATGTGCAAATATGTGGATTTAAGCTACTATAAGACTGGGAACTACTATGGGTAAAAAATGATTTACTTACTTGATCAACAGATTTCTCCAACAGCAGCATCTAAACTGCAAGAAGTAATTCACCATTAACATCATTTGGCACCATTGCTCAATTAACTTTTTAAATCAGCTGATCATGATGTTAACTTCTGAGAAAATGGGCAGGCTTTACAATGTCAAGCTTTGTGATGGAAGTGATAATGAAAAACATAATAGTCTGCTTTCTGTTACTGTAACTGAAACAATCAACTTCTAAAGAGGGAGGTTCTTCTTAGCCCAAAGCTTGGGAGGATTAAGTCCACATCAGTTGGCCACACTGCCTAGGGCCTGTGATAAGTTAGCACATCTTGTCCAGGAGAATATGGAGGAACAATTGTTCATGTGATAGTCCAGTCATGAAGGACAGAAGTGCCTTCATAGTCTTCCTCAAGAGCACGTCCCCAATGACCCAAAACCTCTCACAAGCCCCGCCCACAAAGCTTTCTACCATTTCCAATAGGGCCAATGTGAGAACAACGCTTCTGACACACGGACCTTTGAGGGGCATCCAAACTACAGGGACAATCTGAAAAGGGCAAGGCATGAAGGGCAAAACACAGGATTTAACTCCCACAAACTCACAGGTCTGTCCAGCCTGGGTGAACTTCCATCCTGTTCCAGTTTCCATGACGTCATTGCAAAGGCTTTGGTGTAAGATGTGATGAACTAAGGCCTCTCTCACGCTTCTTCATAGGCCATCGATCAAGGAGTGAGGACTTCTTATAGGCTGTCCCACCTCACTGCCTCCACCATGGCAAGGGAACAAGGGGGGAAGGTCCTGGGGCCGGAGGAAGGCTTAGCTTGCTGGGGAAGATGAAGCAGTGCCTATTTTTTCAAGCACATAAAAGGCCGATGCATGGGTGCCTTACCATTCCTCCTAGGGTAATGACTCAAGCCCAAGCCCTGGAGAGACAAGTTTGATGGATTTCTAGGAGATCAGAGCCAGGGCTGCTGTGATCCATCCCCAGAACCGCACGCCGTTTGGGATGGAACTGGGCATATTTCCTGTGCTCTGATGAGGACTTTATCTTTGCTGGGCCAGGAGGGGGAAGAAAAGCTTCACTGAGCTTTTTGATGGCTGCATTATTAAAACTTTCAATTGCCATTCCAACTCTCTGTCTCCTGACCTTTTTTAGTGGATGGTGAAGGCAGAGCTTCCTTGCTTAAGCTTATGATCCATCGCCTCAATTTAGTATTCTGTTTGTTCAAAAACATATCTCCTACCCAGCCCCTTTGGCAGTATGTTGAAAGTACAGATGGAAAAAATATGACTCTTATCAGCCTAAATGCTCAGTTTAAAAAATAGCCCAAAGCCTTATCTAGCAGAAACTATCAGGCGTTATATGCAATGTGTTAGATCACAGGAAAAGAGGTCAAAAGTGGGGAGGTAGCTAAAAATGGGTTTTCTCTGTTTACCAAGGACACAGATAAGGTCCAGGTACTAACGGTACCAAACTGAAGGCCAGGCTAGACCCCAGAGTAGAATAGGCTCTCTTTCCCAATCCTTTCTCCTTGATGTTACTGTCTCATTTTCATACTGGCTTTGCCGAATTATTATAACGGCTCTGAATATGAGGGTGCTTGCAACATGTATTTATACAGATCTAATTTATTCATCATCTGATCCCCAGGGAAGAGGGCTTGACTGATGGATCTTTACATGAGAATAGGTGTGTTCTTTTTGCTTTCCATGGAACAGGAGCACGCATGTCTATGGCTGACCCATGGAGTTGGAGGATAGAGGGACAGTGTGAAAGCCCAGGTCTTTCTTCTCAGTGAAAACCAAAACTTAGAAATGTATTTTTTTTCCCAGTCAGTTCAGCTGAACTTCTGGTGATCCCAGAGAGAGAAAGGGAGAGAATAGGGTCATCATAACATCCAGGCCTAAGGAAACCATGATCTTCTAGGGCAGGGATGAGGAAATGGAACCAAAGACGCAGAACTCCTGGGACCATCAGGGTTCTGCTTAGCATCAAGTTCTTTTTTTTTTTTTTTTTTTTTTTTGGTTTTTTGAGACAGGGTTTCTCTGTGTAGCTTTGCGCCTTTCCTGGAACTCACTTGGTAGCCCAGGCTGGCCTCGAACTCACAGAGATCCGCCTGGCTCTGCCTCCCAAGTGCTAGGATTAAAGGCGTGCGCCACCACCGCCTGGCAGCATCAAGTTCTTAACTGCGATGGTGGGAGGGGTGTGAAAACAGAGCTCGGTGGCTTTAAACCCATCCTCTCCTGGTTATAGAGTTAGACATAAACCTTCCCAGGTTTTTCATGGGTGGAGGGTACTTCCAGCAAATGAACACTTAACAAAAAACTAAGGAAGTGCTTTCCCCAAGACCTTTATGGTCCTAAAAGAGTTATATTTATAGTTTTGTTTTTATTTTTAACAGAATGGCTAATCATTCAGGTTGTGTTAGGATTTAAGAAGCATGCATTAGTCAAGAAGAGAAAAAGGACATTTTTGGAAAAATTAAAAACTATTATAGATTTAGAGCAAGTTTGTGAGCCCAATTAAAGAGGAGAGGGAGAGAGAGACAGATACAGAGAAGGGGTAGATAAGGAGAAGAGGCAGAAGGAGAGCAGAGAGATCCAGGAGGAGGAAAGAAAGGAAAGCTGGCTTTATGCCAGGAGTTCTTGATGTGGTGGTTTGGGCAATGTAGACTAAAAGAAATTAGACTCACATGAATCACTGCCCAGGGTTGTAGAACTCCATGTAAACTATTAAGTGACATCACACTGGTTTGGAACATTGAGCTGGGGTCTCCAGACAGGAAGCCTTTTATCTGGATACGTGTAGGATGGGTAAGGGTGATCCTTGAGATCAGCAGCCCTCCTGGACTTCCCACTGGAGTTCCAGTTACATCCAAGGCAGGTAAGTCCTTCAATAAGCCTGTCAGAGGAAAAGAACATCAGAACCTCCTTAGAGAGTAGATGCATTTAAATTCCTGCATGGAGAATCAGTGCTCAGGATGCCTCTCTTGAGTTAGGGTAGGTCCTGCTTCTGCATGAGTAACAACAGACTGGGGAAGTAATGCTGAGCCATTGCAGGTCCAGACTCAAGAGAACTAACCTCTGCAAATTCCTTCTTCCTGAAATAGGAGTGTCTGGGGAAGACTGTGGAGTAAGTGCAGGGTGTAGCCTACCAGTGCTGGAGAAAGCCTGTGGAGAGAAAGACCCTGGGGTCACAAGGAGAGGGGGACTCAGCACCTCAGTATTCCAGCTGGCCTCCAGATGATTGTAGACACATCTCGTGGAGACCACTTTGCTATGGATGATTGATTGATAAATAAAACACTGATTGGCCAGTAGCCAGGCAGGAAGTATAGGCGGGACTAGCAGAGAGGAGAATTGAGAGAACAGGAAGGCGGAAAGGAGGAGATGCCAGCCTGCCATCTAGGGAACATCATGCATAGGCAACAGGTAAAGCCATGGAACACGTGGTGACATATAGATTAACAGAAATGGGCTGAGTATAAGAGTAAGAGCTAGACAATGGTAGGCCTGAGCTAATGGCCGAGCAGTTTAAATAATATAAGTGTGTGTTTATTTTATAAGTGGGCTACGGGACTGCCAGGGCTTGGCGGGAGCTGGAGAGAAACTCTCCAGCTACACCACTTGCAAGACCTTAGTAGGACCAGCAAAAGAGCTTACAGATGAACTCCATGAAGCCACACAACTAGGGAATATAATAGATCACTGCTGTCTTAATCACATTTAGGAGTAATTTGTTACACAATGGGCAACTAAAACAAGGGGCATCAGAATTTTTGTCTAATCATCCATTTGTCAGTTCATTTGACAACCCCTGCTGGGTGTCTGCAGCATGGCAGACAGAAAGCCACCGAGAATGAGAACCACCTGGTTTCCTTACACTGGATCTTTCAGCTCAGCATCAGAAATGAACATTGTCTCAGACAAGGAGCCACAGCCATACAGGTGTCACGGGTAGGGGCAGAAATCTCTGGAAGGAGCACAGGGTATCCAGCACCAAACAAAGAAAAATCACAATGTCTGTAAAGCAGCCATGAGGAAACTCCTACACAGAGATGAAGAACAGACAGAGGGGATGCAGCCGAAAGCCAAGGACGTAAAGTGGATGGAGTTAGATTCCACTACAAAGAGAGCTTGTGGGTTATAGAAAGACTCAGACTTCTGGAGACGATGACCATGGTGAGGAGGAAGACACGCTGGTCAGTACCGACAGCAGACACGGTGCGTAGGGAGATACCGGCTAATTTCAGGACAGAGCAATAGCGAATGTCCACCATGAAGCACTGGAGGGGCCAAGGCCAGGACCAGAGCAACACAGAAACAGTGGCTCTCTACGACATCAAGTTCTCTGACCGAAGGGAAGAAATACACAAAATATTTGCAGAAAGGGTAGTTAACTTCCCCCAAATGTGATGAAAACTATAAACTCACAAATTCAAGAAGCTCAAAGAACCTCAAGTCCAACAAGTAAGCAAACACACGCATGTGTAATATACCAACACACACAGTATACTGTGTCATAATCAAGTAAGTATCCAAACCCACACATGTGTAATATACCAACACACACAGTATACTGTGTCATAATCAAGTAAGTATCCAAACACACACATATGTAATATACCAACACACACAGTATACTGTGTCATAATCAAGTAATATCCAAACATTCACATGTGTAATATACCAACACACACAGTATACTGCATCATAATCAAGTTGTTAAAGCAATGATTTTTTTTTAAATCATAAAACCAGATATATTATTCAGGGTTCTAGAGGAACAGAACAGGTAGAATGAAATATGGACTGGAGAAATGACTCAGAGTTTAAGAGCACTGACTGCTCTTCCAAAAGACCCAGGTTCCATTTCCAGCATGCATATCATGGCTCATAGTAACCCAAAAATCCAGTCCCAGGGGGCTGATGACCCCTTCTAGCCTCTACTTGAATGTGGTGTATAGACATGCACATAGGCAAAATACTCATAAACATAGAATGAAATATAATAATGGGCTTTATTAGATTTGCGCACATGATGTGGCTAGTCTTCCCAGGCTGGGAAGACTGGCTGTCTCGGCAAGTCCAGTCTGCTGCTGCAGGCCTGGAGGACACCTGCAGAAACACTGTCCACCTTGGACAGCAAAGGAAGCAGCATTCTGACGTCAGCAGAGAAAGGCCGCAGCATTGGGGATGAAGTCACAGCACAGTGTGAACAGAGTAGATGATCTTGCCAGCACCACAAAGGCAAGTAGTCAAGAGCAAAGTTTTTCATCTGGAAGGGGCCAGCCACGCTTAGGGTGTGTCTTCCCACTTCAAATAAATCCCATCCGGTGGCCCGGTGGCTTATCTAGTTGGTTCCAGGTCTAGTCAAGTTGTCAAGCGACATTAACCATACAACACTAGCTGTATTAGTTAGGTTTCTGTTGCTGCAATAAAATACTCCGATGAAAGCAGCTTAAGGGAAACAGTTTGGTTTGGCTCTGAGTTTCAGAGTTCATCATGGTGGGGATGGTATGGGAGCATGGACATCAGGTGAGCCTGGCACTTAGGAAACAGAGAGGTCACATGCCCCCAACACACACACAGGAAACAGGTCACATGCCCCCGACACACACTCAGGAAACAGGTCACATGCCCCCAACACACACTCAGGAAACAGGTCACATGCCCCCAACACACACACAGGAAACAGGTCACATGCCCCCAACACACACACAGGAAACAGGTCACATCACCCCCAACACACACTCAGGAAACAGGTCACATGCCCCCAACACACACTCAGGAAACAGGTCACATGCCCCCAACACACACACAGGAAACAGGTCACATGCCCCCAACACACACTCAGGAAACAGGTCACATCACCCCCAACACACACACAGGAAACAGGTCACATCCCCCCCCCCCAACACACACACAGGAAACAGGTCACATTCCCCCCCCCCCAACACACACACAGGAAACAGAGAAGTCACGTTTCACCCCCACACGGGAGGCAGAGAAATAGAACAAGAAGCAGTAATAGATCAGAAAACCAAAAAGACCAGTTGGCGCCTCCCCTCCTGCAGGCAGGCGATGCCCTTCCACCAGCAAGGCCGCACCTCCTGAAGGTTCCGTAGCTTCCAAAAGAGCGCCACCAACTGGGGACCAAGTCTTCAAACACCCGAGCCTATGGGGGACTTTTCTCATTCAACCCGCCACACCAACAGAAGGAATAAACACGGAGGAGCAAGGTTTGGAATGTAGCTTCCCTGTTAGAAGTTTAGAAGCAAAGCCAGCCAGAGCATACTGGACCGCGTCTTTAGTGTCTCCAGAGCTCTCAGCATTGAACTCTGTAGCCACCAGAAACAGCCTTCCAAAATTAAGGTGAAAAGCTCAATCAGCCCTTCATCTGACATTTTCTAAATTCTTAGTTGTTTTGTTGTTGCTGTTGTCTGGAATGGATACATTGGTTCCCCAATTAGACACATTGGGTCACAAAAGTAGACATAAAAGTGGCAAGGGGATATGTTAGAAATAAAAGGGGGTTTGATGGGCGTGAAGGAGGAATCAGAGAGGATGACAAGGGTGAATATGATCAAAGTACTTTATGGCATTGAGAAGGAATAAAAAAATGCAATGGAAATAAAACATAGTCTTCTATTGCTACACTACAAGACTACAATACAGGCATGGAATAACCGCTACATATTTATAAAACCTGTATGGTTTAAAATTGGCCACAGTGAGGTGAGACCATAAAGTAGACAGTCAGTGTGACAGGCCACACTCTGGGAACCAATCTGCTTGGCTCTATTTGACTCTGACAGAAGCGTCACAGCATTTCAGTCTTTACTGAGGTGTTGAAATAACTCCATAGTCTCTCGAGAACTTAAAGATTCCCGCCCTTACCTCACATAATACAAGAACTCCTCCAGACCAGAGCATAGACATAAAGGCAAACAGGAGAATTA